AGAAAGTTAACATTGCTGAGGTGGTGAAGACTTTCATAGCCAAGTTATCAAAAATACACATAGTGAGAATCTTTTTTTTTTTTTTTAAGTACAGGGACTATAGGGCCTATAGGGTCTCACTGCACAGAACAGGTTCTAGTGATCCTTCTTGTTTTCAGCCTCCCAAGCACTGGGATTAACAGGTGCACGCCACCACACCCAGGCTCAACTGCTTGCTCAGGGGCGGGCCTCGGAGGCAGGGCTCATAGGGCAGCCCAGGGATCAAACCCCCAGGCCCTGCGTCTGCCTACGCAAGCATTTTAATCCGTGAGCTGTCTGGCCAGCCCTCATAGTGATAATCTTGTTACTTTATTTAAAAAAAGAAAGTTTTTCAATTAAAAGAAGCTAATAAAAAATCTTCAAAAGAAGTCAGACAAGACATTTTTATACCAATTTATGAGAAGTTCACATACTGTTGTAATTATTCTACTAAATCTCTCAGGCAAAAAGCAGAGTAGGGTATATACAACAAAAAGGATGGTGAAGGGCTGGGAAGATAGCTTGATGGTCTAAGGCCCTGCCAGGCAAGTGCAAGAACCAAAGTTTGATCCCTGGTACCATACGATATGCCAGCCCCCAGAACAGCAGGCATGCTGCGCAGGCCCCAAAACCGGGCATGGTGACACAGGCCCATAATCCCAGCACTTGGGAGGCTGAGACAGGACGATAACTATGAGTCTTAACTGCACTGCAAGACCGTGTATCATATGAGAGAGAGAGAGAGAGAGAGAGAGAGAGAGAGAGAGAGAGAGAGAGAGAGAACGAACAGTAAGTTGTGAGAAAAGTTCAGCAACAGTCCTTAGAATATTCTACTCAAAAATGTTTTGGGGAAATGTTATGGTTTGTGTCAAGTTGTCCCCCCAAAGCCTCATGCAGTCATGGGGGCTGACTTATAGAATTTGTGATTAACGCACGATCAACTGGGATTATGGACGTGAGTACTACACCCAGCCTGGGGCAGAGAGCCTGAATGGAACGTAAGGGACACAGACTTGCTCTCTACTGCCATTGTTGCCACTACTCCTCCCTTGGCTCCTCTTTGCTCTTTGCCGCCACCCTGAAAGGGTGCTCTCTGCCATGTGCCACTCTGCCTTGGAGCCAGCTGAGTATGGACTGAAACCTCCAGTAACCGTGAGCTAAATAAATCTTTCCTTCCTTGATTTTGAGTGTCGGGTATTTGTCCTAGCAAGGAAAGAAAAGTAACTGAGACAGGGGAAAATGTTTTGGGGTTCGCCCAGCATGTAAAGGGTCTGGGTTAAACATACCATCACAAAAACTAAGTAACACTTTTACAAATGCAGGAGGAGAAAGCAAATTTGTAAAATGCTTCCATGTCCTACAGTGATAAATTCAGAAACAGACCTTTCTCACTAAGGACAACCACAAGAGCTAGAAAACATTCGCAAATGAGTAAATCATCTTCAAAGTATCTCAATCAATGAGTTGGTAAAGAAGCACATGGCCAGAATCTAAACAGCACTAGAGACGAATGGAGGCATCTTAACAAGGTGCTCAGATGCGAGGCGGTTTTGCCTTGATGGTGTAAGTGTTTCTACACGCGGCCCCCCAAGCACCAGCTACACCCTCATCTTCTCACAGTGGGAACCAGACAGCAACTGGGGTCAAAGTCAACAGGAGGGTTACGGATGTCCACACAAAAGAATCTGCGCTTGAGATCTCAAGAGGAAGTACGAAAGAAGGGTGAGTTATGAAAGGTTGTGGGGGGTTTGTGCCTGGCTTTTTCTTTTCTATTTTTCTTTTTAAATAGACTGTGAGTGTGAAATCATCTCAACCACTGAAAGTTGACTAAAGTGAGTTCAGATAGCTACTTAGCAAGAATTTTAGAAATATAAATAAAAACATAAAAGATTTGTCAAACAGAAATAAAATCAAACAAAGTGAGAGAAAGCAGCCCCCTACAAAAACCAAGAGCATTACAGCAGATGTAGGTGTGAAAAATTACTAAATGATAGAGAATTTCCAAAACAGATAAAAGACAGAAAGCCACAAAGTTACGATGCCCTGCCAACTCCCAGAAAAGTAAATGTGAAGAAATATTTATCTATCCCCAGGTAAAATTTGTGTAAGATGAAAGCCAGGCACAGCAGCACATTATCAGTAACACAGCTCCTCAAGAAGTTCAAGCAAGAGAATCACAAGTCGCCTAGCCAACTTAGGATCATAAGTTCTACACTTGCCTCGCCAACTGAGGGAGATCTGGTCCTCAGAAAGTAAAATAAAAAGGGCTGGCTATAGGTCAGTGGAGGAGAGCCTGCCTAGCATTCACAAAGCCCTGGGTTGAAAACTTAGTACTTCAAAATACTAAAAACACTCAAAGAACCACAGGAGACATTCTCTTATATGTACACACAATATTTATAAAATCCAAGTCATAAGCTGGACTATGTGACCACCCGCAAGTTGCAAAAAATGTCAGATCAGTTAATACCTATTCTGACAAGATTGGGCATCTTCAACAAGATATGGCCATAGACAACTGGTACCTATTCCGAACGCAATGCAAAAATCATGAACAGAATGATCCCCTATGCATAAAAACTAAAGTTAGAGAGATGGCTCAGTAGAATAAGCACTTGCCTGGCAAGCACAAGAAGAGGAAGAGGAAGAAGAGGAGGAAGAAGAAGAGGAAGAGGAAGAAGAAGAAGAGGAGGAAGGGAAGAAGAGGAAGAGAAAGAAGAGAAAAACAAGAAGAAGAGGAGGAAGAAGAGGAAGAAGAAGAGGAAGAGGAAGAAGAGGAAGAAGAAGAGGAGGAAGAAGAAGA